AAGCGGCGTTGGGGGGGGGGGGGGGGGGGTTTGGCTGGACTAATTGTGTAGTTGGAAGAGATGTTAGACAAACTTCTTTGTGGCTGAAAACTTGTTCAACATCTCTCACAAATATGCATTTGGTTCATTTACAAATATCACTCCAAAAAACCTTGTTTCTATCGCATTTCCAGGACCATCATGGCTACAACAACAATCCAACCAATAAAGGTAAGACAGACTCATTACAACCACTTCCACAACCAACATTCTGACTCCATATCCTAAACTCAATACAAAGTTATGGGTCATATACCATTTTCAACAGTTATAGAAGCATAAACCCTACATGTGGATCAGCGCATGGCCCAAAAATAATTACTTATAAATTAATAAAGCTAACGTATTTATTTGAATTCAAAATAAGGTCTGTCCCCCCCTTTTAATATGGGGGGGGACCCCTAGTCTTTGATTTGAGTACAACCTAGCAGGGAGATATCTGCCACCTCTGACCCCCAACCCCCGTTTATCCCTCACCATGTCTCCCTCCTATCACCAACTCTGCCCCACACCTTCTGCAACCCACCACCTGTATCCCACAGTCTTTCCTGGGCCCAGATGGAGCTGCTGCCATTACAGCTGCAGTCACTGCAGCAGCTACTGTGTGGCTAGGGTGGGGCTGAAGTAACCATGAGCTCTGTTTCCTGGATTGGAAAGGAGCTGCATTGTTGCTGGAGCTGGAGGGTAAATGCAGGTGGGATGGGGACAGGTGTTGAAGGCAAGTGGTAGTGGGGTGGTGCACAGGCAGCAGGGGACAGGTGTTGAAGGCAAGTGGTAGTGGGCTGGTGCACATGCTGCACAGGCAGCATGAAGGCAAGTGGTAGTGGGGTGGAGACAGGTAGCAGGAGCTAAGAACTTAATTAACTGAGCACAATTAATCGAGTTTAAATTAAGCATAATTTTGGATTTTGGTAAATACAGCAGAACCAACAACAACCCCCCCCCAAATACTATGCAATAATTTCTAGGGGTGCACCAATAGAGATTTTTTGGGGCCAATATCGATAGGCGATTTTTAAGGAGGCATATCGGCTGATACAGATCAGATTTCCAATACCAGCTTGGCAGCTTGGAGAGCTGTGTGCAGCTAGTAAGTCTGGTGTGGGGGAGGGGAGGGGAGAGGCAGATCAAGGCCCCCCATGGTGAGGGAGGAGTGGGGCTGGGGCAAGCTCTGCCCAGCCTCAGCTTGTCAGGGAGGCGTGGGGCAGCACCCACCTCTGCACACCACTTGTCCAGAAGCTGCTGGTCAAGCACACGGCCCACACCATGCCCTCCCAGATGAGCGGGTGAGTGCCCCCAGATCTGGATGGGGTGGGCCAGGAAGAGCCTCGGCTTCAGCCTGCCGCACCCTGTGCAGATCTGGGGGCACACGCTCCCCCACTCTCCCATGACCTCCTGGATGAGTGGCAGAAGCAATGGTGGGAGCCACCGGACAAGCGGGCAAGGCCAGACGAACAGCTCCTGGACAAGCGGAGCACAATGGTGGGAGCCACCCCTTCCCCTCCCTGCACCCCCTGGACAAGCTACAGTTCCGTCCCATACCCACCCCACCCCGGCTGGACACTGCTTGCCCCAGTCCTAGCCACAGCCATCCCTCACCACAGGGGCCTTGATCTGCCCCTCCATGTCCCTTCCCTCCCCACTCCCCTTCCACCAGACTTACCAGCTGCACACAGCTCTCCAAGCTGCCAGGTTGTGCTCCTTGCTGCCTGCGTACTGCACTGCGGCTGCACACATGCCCAGGCATTTATTGGCCAAATTATTGGCCACATCAGCCCGATTTCCAATACAATCAATTTTCTTTATATCAGTCCCGATCCAATATCGGATCAATGTATTGGTACACCTCTAATAATTTCCTAATTCTCACTCTTACTGGTAAAAGCAAAAACACTTTCACTTTTCCTTGCTCTGCTTGTGAAACTCAGTTAACGTGTTCCAGCAAATTTTCAAAATCCTATTTCTTCTCACAAAGGATGGGAAAAACAGAGATTTTAGAGAAGTAGAACAGAAAATATGCCCAACAAAAGGAATAGTGCACTCTTGGATGACCTGAAATAATATGCTCCATAACACACAAAAAATGAGCAATTAACTTTTCATTTAAGCATATGCAGTACAACATAAATAATTCTTCATTAACACTGCAATTAAGTCCTGTGTGAGATACACTATCAACTAAATAATTTTAAAACATTCTTTTGAGTAGAATAATCTGTTTTAAAAAGAATGTTTAAAAATTACCTTTATTATCTGTTTGTTTGTTCATTTTTATTTGAGGTTTTTGCCCATATTTATACAGAAAGGTCAGTATCATATGTGAAAAAGAGATTGGAGGGCATGTATACACATTTACACACAAATGTACTGACCCAAGATAAAAGCTTTAATAAATATAAAAGTGCATATAAGAATGACACTTCCTAGGGGTACACCATACATCAGCACTGAAAAAAGGAGAAATTATGTTATCTGCCATCGGCTTTTTTTGGTTGCTGTAGCCAGTAATTATGGCTGTGCACCCAGGACACCCCAGCGAGCACAACCTGGTTTTCATGCCCCACTGCTGGCCCAAGCCTGTGGCAGACTACGGTCCTGGCAATCAGTGGGAGGGTGTGCCGAGGAGTGGTTACAGGGTGTGATGCTCAGCAAGAAAGGAACTGTTGCAGGCTCCTGCTGCTGCTGCTGCAATGACAATGCCGCATGCACGTCAGAGGCTTGAGCGCCGGGGCTGCCATGGAGATGGTGGGCTACTCATAGGTAGGGTAAGGTGTTGCGCGAGGGATATTCCACTGTGCCAGGCACCTTTGCAAAAGCAGGTTCTCCCTGGCAGCTGTGGGAGCTCAGCAGCACAGGGCCCACCAGTGCTGAGGCAGCGGCGTGCTCTGCAGCTCCAAACATGCCCGGCACTGGCTCTTCACGTGAGGGTCTACCTCACCCACCCCGGAGGGCAGCACGGGTTTCGTGGGAAGCGGGGCTGCAGGTAGGAGCTGTGGGTGAGGGGGTGATGAGAAAAGCAGTGACTGCCTTATTCCCATCGAGGGCTGCAGCAAACAGGAAGTTTGTGTGTGTTATAAATGCAAAACAAACAAACAAAGAGGTTTATTTATGCCAGTAGTTTAAAATACCTTGCACCATCACTAAATATTGGTTATCGGATCCGCATCAGCTAATATGGTTGGTTAATCATTGGCTATTTGTATCGGCCAAGAAAATCTTTGACTGGGATAGACAAAAGGAAAAATTAGGCTGGAGCCATGCCACTATTTGTTTGCTTTTTCGAAAGAAGTTTAATACCCCACTCACTTCAAACAACCTGAACAAACACTGGAAGTGCAGGTTGAAAGAACTATCAGGTGCTGAAGGGTGACAGTGTCTAAAGATGGACCTCCAGAAGTTTTCTCCCTCCTCACTAAGCTTTTTTCACAAGCTTCAACTTCAAGTTCCCAGACCATTTATGTGGGCAAACAGCTACTGGAAAGGACTCTCCCCAGCACTACTGCTTTCATTCAGGTACTTCTGTAATTTCCACACACCAAGCCCAGGCATTAATAAACATGATCAACAGCCAGGCAGCACTCTGCAGATCAGCTGTGATGGCTAAACTCAGCCCATTTTTCTAACCCCCAACATGATGGATTTCCAATTAAGTTTACAGCATTTTTTTTAAACCAACCTCTTTTGTTGCAGGGTAGGAATATTTTTCATGAGAAAAAAAGCATCAAAACCCCCATTTTCTCTCCCTCTCTTTTTTTCCTGATGCACTCATTTGGCAATAGGGCTAACAAAACTGTCTCTTCACTCAGACCTTCCTCTCAACCATGTGTGGGCATTTGCCCGACAATGCTAAGGAGAACACCCCCCACTCCCCATTTTTTAAATAGACAAAAGAGGGCTGAGGGATTCTTATCACAGAATCATAGAAAATGAGGGTTGGAAAGGACCTGGGTAGGTCACATCTACTCCAACCCCCTACTCATATCAGGGCCACCCCCAACTAGATCATTCCAGCCAGGGCTTTATCAAGCCGGGCCTTAAAAATCTCCAAGGATGGAGAGTCCACAACCTCTCTAAGTAGCCTGGTTCCAGTGCTTCATCACCCTACTAGTGAGAAAAATTTTCCTAATATCCAACTTAAACTTCCCTTGCTGCAACTTGAGACCATTGCTCCTTGTTCTGCCATCTGCCACCACTGAGAAGAGCCTGGCTCCATCCTCTTTTGAACCCCACTTCAGATAGTTGAAGGCCATTATTAAATCCCCACAGTGGTGGCTTGCTCTACTCTCATGTTTCTGGCTGCCACTGCCAGCATCTCCACTGCTGCTATTGTACCTGGCCCCACGGCTTAGACACCCTGGCCCATCCATCCCGCACCCACTGCCAAGAGTGCCAGACAGAGCAGGCAGGTGGGAGACCAGCAGGCACCCTGTGGCCAGGGCACACCCGGCCAGGTAGATAGGACTGGGTGTAAGTACGTGAAAAGTAGTGTCTGGGAGCAGGACGGGTGGGCCAAGGCCAAGATCACAGGGTGGTGATAGTGCAGGGCCAGGGCCTATAACAGAGCCGTGATCTGCTCCCCACGCAACCCCACGATAGGCACCAGTTCCATGGGCGGCACATGAGGCCTGCTTCCTCCTGGTCCCATCTGTCAGGCTGAAGGCGCCTGGCCTGCAGACATCCTGGGCCGGTCTCAAAGGAGACCCCGCCCGCCTGCTCCCTCCAGCGCCCCTGGCACTGGGTGCGGGACGAACAGGCCTAGGGCCGGACAGGGTCAACTAGCATCTTGCAGCCCAAGGGCAGTGGAAACAACTGCACGGGAGACCCGAGGCCGGGGAAGCCTCCTCCCCACAAAAGAGGGTCGCCAAACCGGCTGTGACGCCCAGCCAATATCACTGCCCCCCGCCCCCGACACTCTTGAGGGGTGCTGGGCCTCGCCGCACTCACCCACTGCCTCAGGCGCAGTGCGCGGCCGGGCCGCCCCCACGACTGCACTCCGGCTCGCCGGAGCCCCCGCGCCACATCCTCCCCCGCCGCCGTCGCCACCGCTAGGACCGAACCAGGGCGCCGCCCCCCGGAGCCCTGCCGCTCCCGGGACCGCAGCTGTGCCGCCGCTTCCGCTTCCGGGGATAGGAGACGAGACCACCGCCCCCAGGAACGGGCCGAACCACTTGCTCAGGACGTAGTGGGGTGGGAGAGGTAGGAACTTGGGACTGGTTCAGCAAACCCAGTGTTGGAACCACCCTATAGCGTCCTGGAAGGGGGTGCTATAGCTCCACTGTCGGGCTGTACCATTATGAGCAGGGGAGCAATGGGCAGTTCCGGTGGCGCCGGAAGTTGTTCCCTTTAGTGTCCTCGGAGTGGGTGAGTCCGGAGAAACAGATTCCGGGGGGAGTGCGGACGGGACGACAGTGATTTTGACTCGGGCGGTGAGTCAGATCGGGCTCTCGCACCGGGGTGTGGAGGAGGCTGGGTGGTATCTTATTGTTTCACCTCCCCCCACCCCCACTGTGGTACATCCCTAGGGGAGGGGGAGCTGCCCCTCGTCATGCTGTAGGACACAAGTGGTCCCCGGAAGCCAGCCCTGGCGGGCGGAGGGAGGGACGGTGCCAGCCCCTGATAGTCACGGAAGATGGCAAGGGGCGATGCCCGGTCCACGGGAGCCAATCTTAGCGAGGGGTGGTGTTGGCTCCCCCCAGTCCCAGGAGGTGGGGGCTGGCAGGGTCGGTGCCAGGCCCCCAGGGAGCAATCCCAGCATGTGAGGTTTGGCGGGGCGGTGCCAGCCCCCCCCCCCATGGTCCAGTCCCAGCATGTGGCGGCTGATAGGGGTGGTGCCAGGCCCCCCAGAGACAAGTCCCAGTACATGTTGACTGGTGGGGACGGTGTCAGCCCTCTGGGGACCAATCCGGTTGGGGAGGCAGTTGCTGGGCCCTAGGGCTCCATGCAGGGAACCCAAGGGTGAGCCCTGCTGCTCTACTGTGTTGCTGCCCCCAGGAAAACAGCAGTAGGTGGGAGCCAGCATTGCCCCTGAGCACTGTGGGTCAGGCAGAGCTGGGCCTGTTTGTCACACAAACCCCAGCAACCACTGGCCCCTTAGATTCATAGATTCTAGGGTCGGAAGGGACCTCAATAGATCATCGAGTCCAACCCCCTGCCCTGGACAGGGAAGAGTGCTGGGTCTAGATGACCCCAGCTAGATGCTTATCTAACCTCCTCTTGAAGACCCCCAGGATAGGGGAGAGCATCACCTCCCTTGGGAGCCCGTTCCAGACCTTGGCCACTCTAACTGTGAAGAAGTTCTTCCTAATGTCTAGTCTAAATCTGCTCTCTGCTAGCTTGTGGCCATTATTTCTTGTAACCCCCGGGGGCGCCTTGGTGAATAAATACTCACCAATTCCCTTCTGTGCCCCCTCCCATGATGAACTTATAGGCAGCCACAAGGTCGCTTCTCAACCTTCTCTTGCGGAGGCTGAAGAGGTCCAGGTGCCCCAGTCTATCCTCATAGGGCTTGGCCTGCAAGCCCTTAACCATACGAGTGACCCTTCTCTGGACCCTCTCCAGGTTATCCGCATCCCTCTTGAAGTGCAGCGCCCAAAATTGAATGCAGTATTCCAACTGCGGTCTGACCAGTGCCCGATAGAGGGGAAGTATCACCTCCTTGGATCTGTTCGTCATGCATCTGCTGATGCACAATAAAGTGCCTTTAGCTTTTCTGATGGCTTCGTCACACTGACGACTCATGTTCATCTTGGAGTCCACTAGGACTCCAAGATCCCTTTCCGCTTCCGTGCCACCAAGCAGGTCATTTCCTAGGCAGTAGGTATGCTGGACATTTTTCCTCCCTAGGTGCAGCACGTTGCATTTCTCCTTGTTGAATTGCATTCTGTTGTTTTCTGCCCA